GAGCCGAGGCGGCGCTCGGGCCCTTCCCCCCGCCCGGAGCCGCGCGCCCCAGCGCCGAGTTGGGGGGCTGGGGGCTCGGGGCGCGAGCATCCAGTGGAGGCCGGGAGTCGGGCCCCGGCAGCGCGCGTCGCTTCCGTTTTGATTAGCTCGGGTTATTATATAAGATGTCACGGAGAGGAAAGGGGCGAGCGGGAGGCGCGTTGGCCTTCCGCGAGGGGCGGGGAGGGGCGGGAGGCAGGGCGAGCGGGGACCCACCTGTGCGCCCTCCTCGCCCCCTGCGGGTGTTGCCCGCGCGCCTGCCGGGGACGGGGAGGTGCGGGGCGGCGGCCGGGTGGACCGACGTGCCCGCAGCTCCCCTCCCGGCCCCGGGAACATTCGGGCAGCGGCCGAAACGTGCCGTTTCTTCTCCGCCGCCTTGCCTGGGTCTACTCGTTTCTGGCTCCGGGCGTTTGTACTTTGAAACATTTGTTTAATATTAAAGAAGCTGCGTGTGCGGCCGTCCTAGTGCGCTCGGAACGTGTGGCCGTGGGCTCCGGGGCGGTGAATGAATCATCGCCCCGCAGACCGGCCGCCGATTATTCCTGCGGGGTCCACCCCGCGCGTACTCGCCGTGTGCCTTTGACCCAGGGACGGCGACCCTTCCTCGGCGTTGACGCCTTGGAGGGCCGCGGGAGAGGGAATGCAAAAGGGCGGCGGCCTATTTTTCCCCCTCCTCCCACAATTTGGGGGAACTTTGGGGGTGTCAGTCCCCACATTTCCCGAGGCTTGTTTCCCGTTGTTAGAAGAGTTACAAGATTCCACCTGGCTGTGTTGATGAGTCGGTGGAGGAGCGCTGATTCGCTGCAGGGTTGGATCGTCTCTCATTCAGAATCTGGATGGCTCTGAAGGAATCCTTCTAGTAATTGCCTGTACTTAAGTACCAATAAAGTAATCAGCAAAAAGTTTAAAAGTTAGTGGATTTTAAAAGAAAAATCAGTGGCTTCTAAGTAGAGGAGTTCTACTTAAAGGTTTAGGTTTGGGGTTTTGTTTTTGTTTTGTTTTGTTTTAATAAGCCAAATCCTAAAAGGAACCTAGTTTGCCACAAATTAAGAACTTGTGACCACTGTGACCACCCTTGAAGACTCGACTTGACTCGTTCCCACCATACCCCACACTTGTAGGATTAAGAATAAAGTTTTCTCATCATTTAGGACTCACCTCAAATGGCATCTACTCAGCAAGGCCCTCTTGATCACCTTAAGTAACCTCTCACCCCTCACCCCAGAGACCACCCCCAGTCCTATTTTATTTTCTTCATAGCACTTAATCGCTATCTGAAAGGATTTTCTTGGGTGTTCTTTAAGTCCTGTCCCTCTTCACTGGAAGGTAAGCTCTACTCTGGTAGGAATTTTTGCCTGATTTGTTCATTGCTGTAACTCTAACACCTAGAACAGTGCCTGGCATATTAGGCAGTCAGGATTTGTTGACTAGTGAATGAATAAATTCCTTTTTCCTATTTCTTGGTGGGACTGTCTTTGACAGTTGAAATTTACTGCCTTGTGTGGGCAAGACACTAAGATGGTGCAGTTCTAATTTCTTTTCTTCCAGTTTTCTTTTGATTGATTCATTTCCTCCTCTATGCTGTTAACTTACAGCACAAGATGGGTTTGAGCATCATATCCTAAGATGCTGAACACAAGGCATGTGGAGCCTTGTCGAGAGAAAGGGTGTTGGCAGTATAAGTTAATGGATGATTAAAAATATTATCTGTGCTAGTTGAAAAAAAGGTACAGGATATTGAAAGGAAATCGGCAAAGTCAGATTCCCACAGTGCTATATGTTTCCACTTGTATTTGAAATACTGATATTTCTATATTCCTCCCTCTCCATTGCCTGCACACCAACCTCAAACTGAACTGCAGTTTGGGAAGGTCCATAGTCGGTAGCATTTACTATGAAGTATTAATTTAACTAAACAAATACAAGATACACATCTCTGCAGTGGCCTTAACTCTGTTGTTGTTAGTGTCAATGGCTTAGCTCCACAGAAGAGTAGATAGAAGGAGTTATTTTAATTTTAACATCTTCAATGAATCGTAAAGAATTAAGTTAAAACTATGTCAGTAATATAATGGAAGAAGGATTAGAAGGTCGTGCTTCATACTACCTCCTTTGAGGATAAATTTTAGTAAACTTTTTTATTATAAATAACAAACTTTGGAGGCATATTAGTTGGCTTTATACTTGTAGGAATATTTTCAGAACTCAGTGCCTCCAAAGTCACTGCCAAAGAAAAGTGGGCTTCCAGGAGTTCCCTTTCCATAGCAGTAGCTGCGAGCACTTTCAGAAGAGTGAGCTCAGACATAATACAGTTTGAAAGCTAAAAGGGACCTTGAAATTGGTTGGCATAGTTCATTCCTTTTTATCAGTCCCTTTACTGAGGTAACTAAGGCACAGTGAGATGACTTGCCCGGTGTGCAGGTCTGGGATTAGAACCAAGGGTCCTGACTTCTTGTTGGAAGTCGTCAAATGAGCCGGAGCTCCTGTAGTTGGGGAACGAGTGGTCCCTATGGTTAGTCGACTCTGCCTCTTGCCGGTGAACTCTCAGGGAGTGAAATGAGGTCGTATTCATCTTTGTAGCCTCCGATGTGCCTTGGACATCTAGGGGCTCAACACGCAGTTGTTGGGTGTAGTTAGGCAAATGTATTTTAAGTTGAAAATATATTTAAGAATTGAGAAACCAGAAAAACATATCTCTTTTCCAGAATGAAGATGTTTTTGATAAGAAAGTCAGAATGTTGGCAGTAATTAACCTTAGAACTTTTATAGTAATGAGGTTGCTCTTTAATTTTCACGCCTCCAGAATTTCAAATAAAATGGCTTACAACTTGTAAGTGTGTGCACTTGCTTAGGTGGCATAATTATTCACTGAAGAAACAATCGGAGGCTGTTTTAGGACACCTGGTAGGTCTTGCCTTTGCCATGGTGTCCAATTAGAGAAGCCTAGACTGTACAGCCAGATAGAATAGGGACCTAAGCTCAGCTCTGCCCCTAACAAGCAGGGCTCTCTGTAGCAAGTTACTTAACTTTTTTGAGCATTCTCTTGTCTCTGAATGAGGGTAATACCACCTGCCTTGAAGGATTGTTGTGACACTGGGGTAAGGTACAGAAAGTGCCTCATGTACACTAGACGGTTAATAAATGGTAACAGTTATATTATGAGCTCTGATTTAAGAGACCAGGGGAGCAGCTTAATTTCTTAAAGCTTCAGTTTTATCAGCTGGAGGATTGGTGATTGGCATGGAAGGAGGGGAATTAAATGATCTCGAAGATCTTATCTAACTGTATAGTTTAAGGAACTGATAAAGAATGCAGAGTTCTACAATTTTAGTTGAAATGATTCATATATCCTTGATCTAACGAGCAACTGCAAAAATGGTTAATTTTTAGGCCTTCCTAAGAACTTGGCTTAATTAGCTTTGGTGATATTAAGTACATCTTCATTATTTTATATGCTATATGGTGGATACAGAGTTAACTTGAATATATCAACCTCTCATTCAGCTTACTATATATAAGGCAGTATAAGGAATATATGGGTTAATCAGACAATAGGCACCCTTTCTTTGAGAGGCTTAGGAGGCATGTAGGGAGCATAAGACAGGTGACCAAAGGTTTTATTATATGGAAGCACTGTTATAGAGGCATAAAGAAAATGTTTTTTTTGCTTTTCATTTTCTGTTTTTGGCCGCACCGGGCGGCATGCAGGATCTTAGTTCCCCCACCAGGGATTGAAGCATGCCCCCTGCATTGGGAGCACAGAGTCTTAATCACGGACCGCCCGCCAGGGAAGTCCCAAGAAAATGCTTTGTGATTTCAAGGAAGGAACACACTATTTCTAGGCAGAAAAATTGGAGAAGGTTTAGTTAAGGAATCTTGAGCTTTAAAGAACTGGTAGAACTTCAACTGGCAGAGATGTAGGGCTCAGCCTGTGCTAAGACTTGAAGGAAAGAGTATATGAGCATATCCAGGGTGGAGAGGAGTGTGGTTAAGCTGTAGGGTGAGGAGCCTTGAGGCAGGATAGTGGGACAGCAGGCTGCTTGGCAGAGTTAGGACCATATTGTGGGCATCTTGAACATTGGGCTAAGGAGCCTGTTTAGTAGGCAGTAGATAACTATCAAAGGTAGTTTGGGGGAATTAAAACTATGCTTTAAGAAGATTAATCTGTATTGGGGGAGTCATGGATAATCCCACTTTGAAAGCTATTAAAATAGTTCCTGGGAGAGAAGCAGTGAGAACCTAAATTAGAGTGGGGGCAGTTGGGTGGGTGAGACCCTGTAGAAATAGTAAATACAGCAGGACTTGTTGGCTAACTGGTTGAGGGAATTGGAGAAGTCAGAGACTGAAGCTGAGTGACTTTGGATGGTGATGGCAGAAATGGAAATAGTTGGAAAGGCCACTGGTAAAGCACCTGTAAGTAGTATGCAATCAGTAAGTATTTGTCTAGTTAATGGAAGTTTGGATTTGGATATGTTAATTTCTTTGTGCCTGTGAAGCTATCCAAATGGATGGCAGCCATTAAAAACAGAGATGGATTTGAGGGCATCCTTATGAGGGG